ATGTATTATACTATATTATAATATTGTCTAGTTCAAAGGAGAACAGTTTAAACAAATACTAAATAAAATACATTGAACACTTTTTATATACTAAAATGTATTTTTTAAATATTAWCAAAACATTCTTTATAAATTTAAAATGATGACATATAAAATGTGTTTTATTTAATTGGGTAATTTATTTCCATTTTTGAATCCAACATAAACTCCATTCATTTCTGGGTATTTCTCTCTAATAGTTTTTACAACACAGGCTGGAATAACAACTCGTACACCTGATAAGGGTAAATCTTATAAATGAATACTTTATATTATGCAATGGTATTAAAATATGGTAGATTATAATTTATTAGTTATAAACAGTTTAATATATAAAACAAAGGTATAATAATCATATTACCTTTTCCCAATGAAGACCATGAATTAATCCAATGTGTATATTGTGTGTAACAAATGTACCTCCATGAACTATTTGATAGGATTGACATACTAAGTAGTTTTTTTTTAGATTTATTATTTGTTTTTAGAATAATCTGATGACGGRTAATGTTTAGTATGTCTTCGTCTAAAACGATTTTTTWAAACAAATCACTCTCTGTTATACACTTATTTCCCGATCGTAAAGATGTAACTTTTTCAAATTCAGCACAACAAATACACTCGACATCGTTATTAAAAATACAACATTTTTCGGACGTGCACCAATTATTTATGTTAGTCACTTTTGATCGTCCATTAACATTTATTTCCAAAAGTGAATTATTTAAATATCGCGGTTGGATATCTGCTCCCAGATCATCCACTGTTGGTTCAAAATTATATGGTTGAAGGGCCATTGGAAAAAAAATATCACATTAACACTGTTAGTACCTACTTAGTACGTCTTACTACTTAATACTAAAACGAAATATAGGATATAATTATTATTATAACCATAAAGATATTTTTAACCTTAATATGATGATAATATTATATTGTTATGAAAAATAAACATCGATAAAATGATGTAAAATTAGAAATAAAATCATAGCAGTAGGTACTCTTATACCTAAGTTATGACAATGGTGTATTTTAATTTATTATAAGTTATTATTTTATTAATATTAAACCAAAATATGATATAATTATACAAATAGAAAGATTATGAGATAATCTTAAATACATTTGATTAGTTCATTCGAAAAAAAATAAGTTCATTAGCAGTTATTTTACATTAAACCAAAAATGGATAAATACTGCCATGTATTATATATGGCCGCCGCCGCGGCGAATGAATCCGTGACGTCACGCGTAATGTCAAGAATCACGATAACTAGCGAACGAATAGTCACAAGCAAATTTAAGTGGTATCATTTTTTTTGTTATAGTATGCACTATACTTTGAGCCAAAGAAAATTTTATGAGTTGGATGGTCCTTTAATCAAATAAATATGTTATAATATTTCTAATGCTATTTATTTATTCCACCACCCCATGTGTGGTCTCTGTCTTACAAACATACAATATAGCAAAAACTGTTTTGTGAGGGACAACTTAACTCCTTTTGTATTTATTACAAAATCACCAAAACTTTACAACGCACAGGGAAGAACTTAATCTGTGTCGTAGCGTTTTTATTATTTGGATAACATAAAAACAATTTAAGTTATCAGTTTAAGAAAATTAGATTTTTATAATTAATTATTTAAAATAATTGATTAGTGCTATCAAAAAAAAAAAAACTCAGTGACACAGACAAAGTTCTTCCCAATACATTATCAAATTTTGGTGATTACGCGATAAATACAGAGAGAGTAATGTTATCCTGCACAAGACAGTTTTTAAGTTTGTAAGACAGAGACAACACATGTAGATGTGGTGTACTCTTAAAGTGAAATAACTAAAATGGTTATTACTACATAATAATTATTAATTTAGTTCATAAATGGCCTAACTGCTCTTAGTCTGACTGCAATAAGCCTWAAAAACAGCAGGTCGTTAGAAAAAGTAATAAGTAATACACAAACAGGCTATGGCTTATGACATACAGTGTGATCACGATAAGTGGAAACACTCAATAACTATGTGTAGGCTTYATATATTTCAATTCTACTTTTTCGGCTAACTAATAAAYATTATTATTTATTGTACACATTTTTAAATAATTAAACTATTTTTTTGACAGTGAATTTTGCGCATGCGCACAACAAWTTTTTTTTTAAATAGCATGATCCATTTTTGACCATAAATTATTTTTTTTGGTATTTTTTAATGAATTWTAGTGATTGAATTTCTTTTCTAAGTCAAAAAATGACGGAGTATAGCAATCTGATTTCATGTTATTTGTATGGGGATAACAGATTATAAAATATGTAGTTGGTAATAATAATCTGTTATACCGTGCAAATAACATAAAATCAAATTGCTATAACTCGGTCATTTTTTGACTTAGAAAAGAAATTCAACCACCAAAATTCATCATGTAATAGTGAATACCACAGTCCAAAACCTTAAGCTAATTATATAAAGAAATCTGATTATAAAATATTTTAGAAAACATATTTCTTAATTATAAAACCACATTTTATGATAATATTATCCCCGATATTATCATTAGTTTTTGTTTGTAGGTAAAAGTACTAACCTGTTGATTTGAATATGCATTTTGTTGCTGATTGTGACTACCAGGAACTTGTGAATAAAATTCATTTTGCTGATCATCAACTTCCCATGGATCTGTTGATGGCGGTAAYGGTGGCGGTGGTAAAGTTGGTGGTGGTTTACTTTCATCTGTTCTGTTAACTGCTTTGGTTTTAATTTCCTGTTAATATTTGATATGAAATCAAAAATAACAATTAATCCAATTATACAAATAYAAATATGATAAAAACATGCCTCRACATATGCTGCTGGAAACAAGCCTGTGCGGCCAGATGCATTTGTTCCTTCCCACCAGCCTTCACCAACATCCTGTCGGCTTACCACCARTGTCTCACCAGCAGTCACTGATAGTTCTGATGAACCGGGTTCACCCACAAAATCATACAACACTAAAACCTAGGTACAACAATTTGTATTTTTAGTCAAACATTTAGGGCAAATAGCTACACCTATGTAATGAATTAAAAAGTTAGTGAATAACAACCGAATTAWCTTAATTGACTACCAAAAATTCAAGTGATATTCTTCTTTATAAATCACAAAGAACATATAATATGTGTAGACTAAATTAACAGAAGAGGCAAGTTGTATTATAATTGTATTACATAATTTAAATGAGCTATTTTATAGGTAGGTAATTGTTCATATTGTGTTTTTATACAATACATCATGTCTGTTTTATGTTGTATTAATTATTTTTTGACAATTTTGTGCGGTAAAATGTCATAAAATAAGATAAAAAATAAAAGATAAATCTTAAATGCCTCTCATATWGTCAGCTTATGCATATGTATATGAATTCATAAATCAATAGTATATATAATCAAACACAAACACAATACCTTCATCCTAGGAGTAATGATCGTAGTGTAGGAGATGTGCGTAGATGCTACTGAACTGATGATAAAAAGCTTTAGGCTACTGCACTTGCTCGCCAACTTAAGACATCATGGGTTCAATCATGATGTTAGCTGTTGACGCCATTGAGGTGGTGTGGCTTAGTAGCTAGTAACACATGCACATAGACAATATAATTAGATTTTATATAACGTACAGAAAATGTTATTGTSAAGTACTTGAACGTGCTAACACGGACAAGCATACGAATATAATATTTGACATTCACAAGCATACACGTACTGTCGTCGTCTTGAGTAAATTACTAGGTTACAGACTAACATTTAACGACTTTGCCGGGAGGGTGAGAAAAAAAACACTCACCTATATTGTGTCCTCCCCAAGTGCTTATTTTTAGCGGACCACAAATTCCATGGACCAAAATGACGTACGATTCTTCTTCTTATAGCTTTCTCCCCGCTGTGGAACCACGAAGGCTTGTCCTGCGTCGGCGGCTAAAAAAATGCACGCACGCCAAACGAAGGGGGAGCTCACACGCAGAGATCGATCAGTGGCGGAGGCGGGTCCGGCGGTGGTCTGCGAGGACGCGGATATCAAAACAATTTGGCCATCGACTGCCCGGTCCGAGTCTCCAATAAATGCGGAAACAACAACGGCGCAATTACGAGTGCGTGTAAACAATTAATTTCTAGTCGATGAAGCGGCGGAGGAGTATCAAAAGCTTACAATATACACAAACGAACCACGAAAGTCGATCCAATTGGTCGTCGCCGTGCGTGTGCGTGTGTGGGCGCGGGCGTTGTATAATCCGACGAACAATTATTAATTCTATATCGCACAATGCATTCCCCAATTAACATAACAGTAACGATGGTGATAATAAAAAATGATGATTTGCTACGAATATGACCGTAACAGTTATGGAAATGTATGGTCACTATTGTTCTATTGCCTGTTTGTTGTTGCGCTTTGCGTTGATAACGTTCGCCGCCACTGACGTTATCTCAACGTCGCGGGATCCGCAGACGAGGGGGCGGACGATCGCAATGACGGTTTTGTCGTCGGAATCCGTCACGGTCGCATCGGACCGATGACCCCGGCGATAACGTAATTAGTCATAAGTAATAACGTGATGTTAGTTCGGGAAGGAATAACGCAATATTCGAGGAACAACAACAAAGTTGTTGTTATTACTCCGGAACGATAAGGACGGGCCAACGACACGACGATATCATATTGATAACGTGGTGAACAGTTGTCGTGTCGACCGACGACAATCGTTCCCATTGACACAGGTCAGCTGCAGGCTGCGCGGTCACAGGGCACCAGCGCCACCAGCAGAGCAGGCTATCGAAGYTACTATCAACAATATGTGACAATATTATTCACTTTTTACGATAGAACGTAAACATAACATATCACATAAATATAGATTGTGTGACGGCGTCAGATTATAAATCGTGTAACACTGCGCATAGGTGTTATTCACTAGATCAGTGCACCGGCCGTGCGTATTCTGTGTTAAGTTGTAGTTGTGGGTGCCCGCGCGACGTTATCGCGTTGTAAACAAAGGGAAGCCGGCTCAACACAGTGTCGTCTGCCAGTGGACGGTGGTTTGGTGGGGGTTGAGTGGGGGCGGGGGCGAAGTCGTCCGCCGGCAAACGTCCAGACAACTGGAAAACGGAGTGCGCGGATCGCGGGGTATCGTAGCCGCAGATCTACCATCGACTCCTCCGCGTCCTGCGACGTCGAAACGTCGACATCAGATCTTGCGACGGTGATTCCTATCGTATCATCGGCGCCGCGCACGTATTCAGGGGCGAGTATGTCCACGCGAATCTGAAAACGGTCTAAGCTGCTAGAGTCCTAGTTGCGCTTTGTTTCTCACGCCGTTGACTTCGCGGTCAGTGCCGTTCTTGTCCCTGACCACTGTAAGTTGCACGCGTCTCGTAATTAACGCCTAACGAAGCATATCCACTGCAGAACATCGTCGACGTAACCCGAAATTTACATCCGCGTTAAATAGTACCTAGCCACTGTATCTGTGACGTTGGACGTTTCGCTGACCCATGCTCTCTATCGTCGGACTGCAATAACAGAACAAGACCAACAGACTTTGTAACAAGCTTCCTATTTGTGCRATTTTTAGAACTTAGTGGTAAGTTCTAACTATTTAAATTTAGATGTGCTTACAGTGCAATTAATAWAGATAGTTAACTACCTAACAGGCATTTTTCAACTATAGGTTTTACCAAGGRTTTTGGTAATTAGGTACCGTTTTTTATTTTACTCAAACCTTTACAAACATTTATTTTGCAATCTTTATGGGAATAATCTTACGACTCCTCCACGGTCTACCATCAGTTTTAACATCCTATTTTTTCGTAACTAAAATTCCACACACAGCAGTCASCACTTTGCTACATACATTAATTGTAATGTAAAAATTAACTCAATGTTACAATAATACTAGATAAGTTACAACAATAATTATCAATTCACATAACTGTCAATAGGGAACAGAAAAAATATGAATGTATTCGTCAATAATTATCGTAACAACACTAGGAAAATAATTTTTAAATAGATCATGCTCGAGATTATGTCTGTCAATCAAGTAGCTAATCAATTTTTCTACTACAAATGTATATTAAAAGACAAAATTTCAACATAAATTAAAGAAGTTTATTTTTATGAAAATTGATCATCCTGAAACACTTAATTGAGACACTAGGACTCTAAACTCTAAATTGAGACCTATTGTAACCCTAAGTTTTAGGTACACTCTGTCTCAAAAAAGTATAATAAGTTAGTCAACTGATTTACGTCCACATGTATCTCCAACTAACTGCTCAGTGTAAGTGTGATCACATGGTTCTCAATCACACATTCATAATGGGAAAAAAATAATTTTTCTCCCCGTTTTTCTCTTTTGAAAAATAGTGGTGATATCGATGATGATGTCAATTCCATTAAATATGACATAAATCATAGCCTTGTATTAGTTTTTGACAAAAAATGTTCATAATGTTCTTAATTCTTACATTTAGTTCACAAAAAACTCAATGCAACTGTAACATAGACTTAAATACGTGTTTAGTTTTGAAAGTGAGTTGTAAATATTGTAAACACTCAAATGATAAATTAAGTGCCTACTTAAAAAAAACGCCAAAAATCTATTTCAAGGTTTGAACTGTCTTTCTATAATACGATTACTGTTTGKATAACTAAAATTTTTAGTGTGTACCTTAAAAAGATTATGAAATTTGAAAACAAAACTTATTTGCATTTCCTTTTAATCTTTAGGTAATTTTTACAATTTTAGCATATTTCTTATGTTTTTAAAAAYAATTATTCACCTAAATAATTTTACTGATATTTTAGAGAACTTAATTATTGATACCAGTTTATAATTAAATATTTTACTTACCTACCTATATGGCTATATCAGTGCTCGAATTGGGAAAAATCAAGTAGGGATGTTAAATCCAAAGATTTAAAAACTGTGATCCAATTSCACAATTACTTAACTCAGAYCCATGAGCAGCTATGCCTCCCACTACCAATCTTCCCGCCATTTGCCAACCTTACCTACTTCTATAATATATTTTATTTTATTACTATTCGGCTACACAGATATTTTAATTCCAATTATAAATTATAATATATTTTGATCACAYACTAGTCCACAAATGTGTACAAAACATTATAGGAAAAGAACAGAGCGATATTATAATTAAATGATAAGCAAATTATAAAAATAAAATATAGGACCATAGAAATTATAATAAATGAATAAACTAATATCAAAAATAATTTTTAACGTAAAAATTGCAAAATTTGTTATTGTTTTATACCTATGGGGTTATATACTTAACGTAAATTGAAATCCACATTTTCATAAAAATTATTTTGAACTTAACTTTGTGCCGYCCCCCTGTTCCAGAGAAAAAATAATGTTGGGGTTTGCAAAACAAAAAAAATAGTTGGGGAGTTCTGTCCTGCACCACTCCTCAAAATTCAAGCATTGGGCTATATCAGATTTATAATTCAAATTGTTTACATACAAATTGAAAAGACAATTATTTTAGCATTTGTAACCACATAAGTTTATTCATGAATTTATTAACTTTAATTTTTATGCAATTGAGTAATTTAATAGGTATTTATTATAAATCCCCAAAATTTGGAGATAATTTTATTTATGATGATTAATAGGTGATGCTCTATATGCTCTATACATGGACATGTGATAAATATTTCAAATTTTATAAATTTTATAAATTAAATCTATACTTATGTAATAAGGTTTATCAGTTGTAGCTAACTTTAATTCAGAAATAAACATTATGATTAATAGTACTGCAATCAACTTTACTATCTCAATTTTCTTCATTTTTAATTTATTTTTATACCTAACTTATTTATATTTTTCCTTTTATAAAGTATTTATATTGAATTTATTTCTTTATTCATAAATTTAAATTATAAATTTATAAATAAAGCAAAGATGTTGGTAGTTAATTTTACTCTAATTGAGTTATTATTCATTTTCATGGAACATTAATTAATGAATTGAATTATTTCTATATACATATATATTACACAAAAATCATTCAGAGTTTGAAAATTAATTTTAACAAATTATGTAAATTTAGGTACAACAATTTTAATAAATAAAAATAGTAATTAAAATTAATAGAATCCCTCGTTGAATCCCAAACAGTCAGTTGTAATGGGTATACTTATGAAACTAATGAAATTAAAGCATGGTTGCCTGCAATAACTATTTTGTGTTAGCTTATGTTTTTAGAATACTGTTGATCTTGATACATATCATGTTAAGTTGAGCTTACTAAAAGATAAAAGAGATTTTAGTTCAGAAGAATCTATTTTACTGTTATTTTTAATATTATATTGACCCAGTTATATTGACCCATTACTAACCTTAAAGGTATGAATATTATCCAGAACCCTGTTTATGTTTTTTTCATATTTAAAATAGGTACTGAAARAAGTTATGTTAATTTTAATTATCTAAAAAGCCTATGTAGGACTTTGTTTAAAGTATTATACCTTTTTAATTCGAAAATAGTTCAATTCACTCTAATATCGAATATAATAAAGTAAAATGGATTCTTYTGAACGTAATATAGGTAGTATTTARTACAATATAATCATAGGTATGATGTTCCTTAAGAACAATGGTCTTGGTTTTAAACGAGGTTTTAAAAGATGTGAAAATGTCAAATAATTGTTTAATTGTATTTATTCTCCCTAACGCTTTTAAAAACTACTTTTAAATTATGCTGGTGTTGATAATTGAATAATTTTGATTATACCGAATGTTGATGACAAAAAAAAAATCATGTATAATTATAAATTCATTGTATTCATTGCTACACTCTGAATCAAAATTATTAATAGATGGATATCCTTTCAACTGGTACCTATATCAATTATTTTATCATACCGACCTATTTCTGTAGATTTAATAATACTAATTTTAAAAGATCCAAAAAAAATGACAACACTTAAAAAAATTAATGGATTTTGAAAATATAACAATTACAAACCAGTATGTAAATTAAGAWTGAAATTATCTTCGATATTGCTTTACTTATCTGTGGTAATTACCATCATGTCTTAAGAGGATGTGATACCCGCATGGCGCATGTGTTGTCTTTGTCTTACAAGTGCCTAACAATGCAAAAACTGTTAAGCGTGARATAGAACCACTCAGTCTGTACTGTTAGTAAAAACACCAAGAGTTACAACAATATAGAAGTTAATATTTTCTGTGTYGTARCGTYTTWATTTGTTTGATATCTTTAATAAGAAAAAAGTTATAATATTTTTAAAAATCTGATATTTTGACGTTTTTCAAACTTCAATAAATTTTGATATATTGGTCTTATTGAAAAAATAAAAATGATGTGACACAGTTAAAGTTCTTCTTTTTTTATGGTGAAGATTTTGTTTCCTAGTTATAACTGTAGACTTCTCGTTTCTTTCCCGTGCAAAACAGTTTTTGCTGTGTTACGCACTTGTAASACGGAGACAACACATRCGGGCATCACATTCTCTTAAGACATGATGGTAAYTACCACATTATTCAGTWTTATTCAAYATTTATGCAATTTTTTTGTTCGAGGTACGTGATCATAGTATGTCTTCATTAGTTCATACCAATGGAAACATACTCTGTAATTGACTACGACCAAGTCAAAAAGGTGCCTATTAATAGTACTAAACTCATAAAAATCTTGCTATATTGCATAAATATCTTTGATAAAAACATTCATAACCATATTTTACACAATCAATGTTTATACTAATTTATACCTATACCAATTAATGAAATATAATGTTGATAATTATTGGTAAATATTTAATGGATGTGTAAGTACCTAATTAATAAGTCCAATCAAAATTAGGTTCATGGTTAGATTAGAGTTATTTTACTTTCATTTAATATTTTATTATTTGTACTTATGTATTTTATAAATATAATATTTATTTTATTTTTAAAATTTACAAGGAGACTACCCCTATGGCCCTATTTGTTTCCTTTGCAAACCCCCTTAGATTTTGCTAACCATCTCAGATATCTTATCTTAAACATTAATTATACTTAGATATTTAAAGAATATAATTTTTTTTTTTAAACTGTAGTTACCTTACCATTTATTACCTAAGCGTCCTAAGCACTAAATAAATATTTTAAAACATTTTTGTTCAGGTAATAGGGCTATATTGCTATATATATCATGTTTTTGAAAATTTATTGKAAAAAAACATTAACTTTCAATGGTAATATATTAATTTCTATGATTATTATCAGAAAATGGTATTGTGCTCTACTAATTAAACCTTTCTTTGCCTGTAAAAATGTTTTTATAAATTTTAACTGCATAAATACTAGTAGGTACCTAAAWAAAATTAAAAATTTATTCAGAAACATAATATGTAATTTTTTWAATATATTATATTTTAAAAATTGTAACAAATAATGTATTTTGTCCAATTTGTATGTGAACTTTAAAAAAAATATATCTGTATTATCCTGGTATGATRAAAATTTTATTCCTTAAAAATTAAAATGAATCTCGTTACAAGTCTTAATTTATACCTCCACTATAACGTTRCATTTTTATTTTGTGTTAAGCATTTTCTTTCTCCCAAATAATTAGTGTTATTTTAAAATTTTATAAATTGATATCCATATTATGAAATAATAATAATTAGAAATAGCCTAAATTTAGTACCTGACATATCATTTGATAAAGATTTTAATGATTTTATAAAAATCTTAATATCAGATTTTTATTTGGTACTGTTRCTTTTAAAATGAGTTCAAAAGTTAGTTATTTTAAAATGTGTTATATGTAAGTAAAATCCCTATTAAATCCCTATTTAGTATAGATTATCAAGTTAATTATTTATTCTTAAACTATTTTAAAACTACTGCTATTTTRGTATCCACTTATAGATGCTCCGGCTAAAAAATAAAATAAAATTTTAAAATTGTATTAAATTATTTTTGGAAATATTCGAAATAGCCAAATCATAAACCTAATAATAAAACAATTACCTATTTAAAATATTATATTTTATTCACATAATTTTCAAAAAAAAATTTTTATTCGTTTAACATGTATCAATTTATCATTTATCAAGTCTTTCTATTATACTATGTAGTATATATATATATAACATTTTAAATCTGTGTTTACATGTTATAGCAATCAAGTGAGTAGAAAGTAAACTTTAATTTGTAGTACTCAATTTTATTATACCCTTTAATCAATCCAAAAAAACGCATGGATAAACACTTAAATAATGAGAATGGTTGGGAAATTGGAGGGGGTTACTGTGAGGGCGGTGACGGTTACATGTGTTTGCAATTACAAATGAGGCGGTAGTACTACGTGGTGGTACATAAGAAAAGCTTGTTTTGGATCGATTAACAGTGATAGCAGAGTGGAGGCATGGAAACAACTTTTACTCCGAAACTGGGTCGTGGAATATATTATTCTCTCGGTGATAGGCTGTGTGGGCGGCGATTTTTGCCCTGGATTATAGTATTTTCTGTCAGGGGGTGGCCTTTGCATATCATCCGTCGAGGTGGGTAATGTTTAAACTGTTGAGGTAAGAAATGGCTTCTCGTCATGTAGACGCCGTATTTACCCCTTGGACCAAATTTACTGCGACGCGGGTGCTGAATACGATCGTCCGCCCATCGGTGTCAATATATGGGTGGTTTTTACGAATCATGATTGAATGTAGGCGGATTCGTAGGTCGTCCTTTCTCTACACGCCTTCCCCATTCCATGTTATGAGCTTTTTCTGTTACCTAACAGATTCTGTTGCTATTTCGAGATCCGCAACCATTCAGTCAACTTTTGGTTCCTTGTAGCCACTGCATGCCATTTCTTATAGTATTTATTATCAATAATAGGTACTATAATATTACATATTTTTTTTAACTCATCGTTATTTATCAYCGTTTGTTTTTCGTGCACATAGTGACCATTGTAATCGTTTATGTCATATTTCCTTCATCCACATTTACATGATACATGACAGTTCATTATTTGACTTATAATTTTTCAAAGATGTGTCATGCAATACCATCATATCGCCTAAGTCTCCACTGCAACATTATCCTCTGCTATTCGATGGGAAATGTTTTGCACACATCATCGGCTATTATATTTGTTGATATAATTCACACTCGGTGACTGCAACCAGCAACGACAACAGTGACGACCRAATCGATCAATTTCCTTTCTCAAACACCAATCTTTTTAATATCCAACTTCTTGTGTTCGTATTTTAGACATACAAACACAGATAATGTGCTTACCATCAAGTTTCATAATAGGTCAATTTACTCTAATTTTCAAATTAACGGAGCTAAACATGATCTGTTATGCGTAAATTTGCTTTGTTACGCACTTTAAGACGGAACAACAAATATGTGTGTTGCGTCCTAGCTCTTTATCTCTATGCTGTTCGCCTAATTTTGCATTTATTTTGCATTTAACTAATCATCGTCGTCATCGTAACTACCTCCAATCCAACAATAAAACGTCTCTCACAAAGCTTCCAAATACTTCTAAACTTACGCTTTAATATCTTTTCACTCGTATATTAAACCATCACTCTGATTCTAATCGTAGTCGTTGTCATTTCTTGWTTTTACATAATCACTATGGAAATTTCCAGGAACAATAGACGAAATCGTTACTACAACTCTTAGCGACAGTGCTATTATTACATCAAAAACCAGCGACGAAAACAAAGTTAATGTTGTCGCATCTCCATCATAATACACGATCACTACCACCGTAATAACGATCACTATTACCGCAGTAACAAATACAACAGTAAGCAAGTAAGCATATGTATATGATATATGTATTAATTTCTGCGTGGTTCAGCACTCGCAACATCGATGTGTAACACAAGTATCACTAAATAAACACTTATTAGCTTTAACGGTAGCATGACGTAACGGCACAGATGATGCTAACGAGGATCGGTGGTGATTATTCCTAGTACACCTGCAGTGGTTCACGTGTGACAACAAAGAAAGTTGTCTGACGGTCAAAATGATAAAAAATGGCCTAGACTTATTCATTCTAGGAAAAAAAACCTCTCTTCATTATTGAAACCAGCAGTTACGCCGCATCAACTATAAGACTACTCTGCCGTAGACGTCCCTTTGTCTCAAATCATCATCCAAATACAGGTCAGTAAAATTATTTTCAATTTTTTTTTAATAAAATACCTAGAAATAATAATATCTAAACTTACAACAAAAACATAAAGAATATGATTAAATTTAAATACTCATTTGATGTGTAAGATTCTAAAATATAATTTATGTATTATAAAAACTTAAAAAGTGACTGACTTGCATACATCTTCTTTAATTTAAAAAAAAAATAATTTTTAGGGACTAAGATAAATCGGCGCAAAAATGTCAACGTGATGTTATTTGGTGCGATTGTTTTTTTTAGTTATCGGAATATGTATATATTTATTTTCTTATCCAATTACCGCGATCAAAAAAATATCGAATTCTCTAGGTATAGCAATTAAGACAAATATCAACAATATATTTTAAATAACAAGTTTGTRTGCAATACAAAAATATAGACTTTTACGTTTTTATTAATTATCGGAGAAGAAGTGTTCAAGCTGGACACTTTTTTTTTTCTAAGCTTATGGCCGGAGCGTGCCCCCCCCTCCTATAAAAAACAAACTTAATCGTCAAATCGCATAAAATTGTGAATGAATATAATAATCCTAATATTATTTTTTTAAATTCACTTTTACTCTAGTGTTACTAAAAATCGTAGTTCGATACTTTTATAGCGTATTAATTACTGTGACAAGAGTGCAATGTATCTCAACTCTCATTATTTTAAAAACTTTTGGTTAAATTGCTTTTAWATTACAATGAATTATTAGTATACTTTCAAAAAAATACATGGTTCGTAATTTTAATTTAATTTAATTTTAATTTTTTTAAATCCCTTATTGTTTATACTTTAGGGGGCTAAAAGAAATAATGACTGTTCTATTGAATAATCAAAAAAAAAATACGAAAAAATAGGAATATTTATGCAACAATTTTTGAAAAATCAAATTGAACCCTTCTAGCATAAAGTCCCATACATTTTTATGAGCATATGAAACATTACAGTATTCTACTATTTTCTACTCAAAATATTTTTATAATATTAGTAACCTCGTAGGAACTTAATTCAGTGGCGGTCCTTGACCAATTCCAGGGGGGGAGCGAAATATTTTTTACATTAAATACAATAAGTGCTCAAAAATAGAAATCATAAAAAAATTTATTTTATGTAATAATTTTATATTTTATATTTAACCAAGGGGGGGATCCACCCATCGCCCCTCCCCCACCCCCATCCGTAGGATCGACACTGACTTAATAGTATTTACTGTAGAAATCGAATTTATCAAAATATAAACCTATATTTAAACTGTTCTACCTACCTTTTATGGTACATTTGTATTGACATTTCTAATATTATACTTAAATKTATAAAATTCTTTGTTTTTTTGTAATTGATAAACTTAAAAACTATCTTACCAATTTTTAAAATTTGTTTACCTACACAAATCTAAAGACTGTAAAAATAACATAGGCTGTATTTTATTTAAAAAAATATAGATCCTTATAAAAATAAAAAGCTCAGATTTTATATTTAGCCCAAAAGTATCAAAATTACGATGTCAAAAATCTTTAATTAATATTAGGACAAATCAACAAACATAAATTAACGRAAAAAGTGTATTTAAATATATTTTAATGGATGGATATTGGATATAATTTAAAAATAAATAGATACTATAAAAACTTTATTCTAATAGATCTTAAAAAAAATCAGTGGCACGATGCACCTAGCTTTTTTTACTAATGCAATAATWATGTTATTTATGTTTAAAAAATGAAAATTGTATTAAGTAATGAATTTAACATAAAGTTTGAATCAGATAAGAGGTGGGATTTCTACGGACAGCGAAGAGCATTCATTTATATATAAAAGCAAATGCATATATGCCCATAATATTCATTATGAAACTTTGGGAAGTTGTTGAGTACACTTCCACAAAGGTTTCTGGTATATTACATCTGGGCGTATTACAATCTGGACTGGGTTCCCCAAAACCAAAATACACCAATATAATACCGTATTTTGTATTAAATATTAATTGAKTATTTTTTCYCAGGATAAGAAGTCAGGTTTTGCAACTATGTCATAAGCCACCGGATGGCATATTGTATCCAATTAACTGTTGGTTGAATTAATTTAGTAGAACTTTGAAACCTAAAAGTTAGAAATTATACACTTACGTATGAACCTCGTGGGGTCGCGGATCCAGCATAGGATTGTCTACCTGATATACTGCTCTCAAAATCACGAGTCTCACGGGCTACACCAGACGGAATGGCTATAATATAATATAATCAAACGTGTCCTGGCTGACTCATTGATTGATCTGATCAACGTAGAAGATTAACTATGATACCTATTGACTTTTGCAATTTTCATGATACCTGTATATGTATCACCATGTTAGTGGAAACTAAAAAAGCATTTTCCAACGTTCTTATTATAGGTGGTACTTTTTATTTTGATATTCAATATGTCTGTTCTGTTTTAAACACCATTACATTTTATTAAATAAAAAACTTAATAAAGTTTGAACCATAAAGACTGTATTATAATAGATATACAGGTATTAGGTATAGTATGCATTTTCAATGTGGTTGACAGCTAGTATGAAATAATGTTATATTTATTATTACGAATATTACCTATACCTTCACAATTTGGTTTGTGTTTGTCAAAAGTTCGTTCAATCTATGTATTTCTAAAATAAAAATTAAATTAAACTAATAACAATGCAAAATGTCTTTAGACATCATTTAGAGTGACGGAATCTCCCACTGTGGAATATTTTTCATTTACAATTATTTATGACTTTATTCAAATTCAATATCTCCATTATGTTCAGTGTTTTATTTTCAATGACGAAGAACATTCGACACCTTTAATTATACCAATATATATATATATAATGACTTTTATGAATTCTTTTGTGTTTAAGTTTGCTGGTATTGTATTCAAGATTATTTATGTTGAGCAGACAAATTATTTATAATTACATTATTTTTTTTATATATATATATATAATCGCTTAAAAATGTTGAAGTATTTACCTACTCATAATCTTTTTATTACATTTATATTTTTTGATCATGGTTTTTAGAATATAAGCTTTATAGCCCATCAACTATATCCATATAAAACCTAACTTAAACAAGTAAATATTATTCAAAACAGCTATGAATGATACAATTTTTTAGACTATAATTGTGGTAATATCTTAAAAATATTAACTATTTATTTTATTCTAAAACAAAAATATTAGAAAAATATAATGAAATAAAATGATTATGTGAAATTGCCATCGACARGATTTAAATAAATGTAGAATTGTTCGTAAATTGATTATAAATATAAATATAATATTATTTATATTTATAGATATTAAACATGTTTTGTTATATTTTATGCACTTGGTAATTTTTCAAAAGTTACCTTACCTAGGTATTTTATTAACTGGGTATTTTGTTTTTGAAATATTTTGATCGTACATTTTATTAATTTACATACAATTTGTTTTTTTTTTTTTTTAATTTAAATTTTATAAAAAACAATCCTACATAAAGTATATTTTATTTTTAACTTACTTATGTACATATTGTATTTATATAAATAAATACATCCAGTAGCGGATCTGAAGATCATTTGAGGAGGGGGCGAATTGGTGTCATAGATTGATAGGTAATAATAAAGACGTAACCGAATACACATTTCCGATTTTCATATTTAAAAAATCCTTTTTTTTTGTATCATTTATTTATAAGTTTAATGTTATAGCTATGACTTATGAATTTCATATTCTTTTTATCATACGGCGCTATAGTTTAAGTAAAAAAAAATTCCCAATGAGGGGTAATCGCCACGTCGTCCTCCCCCCTCAAATCCGCCATTGAATACATCAGTGAACATATCACATAAAGAATTTCAAAATCGCCTTTAACAAACTATAAATATTTAGTAGATTTTTGTAGACCAAATTATCTATATTTACTTAACGTTTTAAAAATAAAAGCAAAACTAAACGTCATCATATATGTATGTGTTTAACTAAATTATATTTAAATGTAGAAGATAAAAAACAATATTTTGATTCTAAAAATGTTTCAATTCATAAACATATTAACATCGATTGAAACATTTTTAAATATTAGTTTCATTTAAAAAAAATATATATGTATTTATTTATTAACTTCCAATGATTATATAACAATTTCAATGTTAATTATGTTAATTTATAATATTAAATCGTACCAATATGGTACATTATCACCAGCTGTTTAGATCGTTTCAACAAAAATATTTATAGGATTTGTTGAGGCCTCTAAAGGCTTCAATATAAAACTATTTCATGTTATTATTTGTATTTTAATATTATGGTGATTTATTAATTTATTTACAAATATAAAAACTATGTTGTTAGGTGTGACGAATGAAGTGAACAAGTACATGCTGATATTATTACTGACTACCCTGCTYTCTCACCTCGGTGACGACAATTTCTCCTTCACTAGTTCCTGGAACACGGTCTCGTCTCTTGATTTGACCATTTCAACTTTACCATTCCTAGGGATGCAAGGCTACTGTAAGCACTGTAGCAAAAAGCAATAATATTGATATCAGAATTAAAGTCAAAGACTTGAACAAATACAGAAATAAAATTCAAATATTGCTATTATTATAGGAACAGAAATTTATTTCTATTGCCAAATATATATATATGCCAATATCAAATAAACACATTTCTAATAACGCAACAACTACTGCCATTTTACCAAAACACTATTGAACAATATTGCTTACTTTAATAGCACTTACAACATTTATCCAATATAGTTTCACCATACCATTTTCGATCCTCATAATTGAGCATAAATTCCGTATGAAAGTTCAACAGCAAAGACAAATATACTGGGATTATGAATCCCCTTGCGACCGAAGTCACCGGTCGTCGCAGCCTTTTGAATGGATTGGTGACAGCTGCCACAAGATCTTGGCGACATGGTCTTCAGCCTAACGGTCATAATTCGAACTCTTTGGTATTTCCAACTATTTCTACGTCAGTTAATAATAATTCAACTTGTCAAAATCCAGCCACAGATAACTCTAACATAACTGAAGAACAAAGAAGGTGGCAACAGCGTCAAGGAGAACACCGACTCAACGTCCTATGGTACGGTGGAGATGAAATGCAGGTAATACAACAGTCGCCAGCCGTTCTTTTCGAACTACACAATCGTTATCAGTCACCAGATGACTGGGAAAAACAACCACTACGACAACGGCGACATAAGTCTCAAAAATCGCAGCGCCAAAGGATTCGTAGAAAACAATCAACGTTACCAATATCGCCGATTGTATGGGCCATCCTATTACATACCATGTATTCAATTGCTATGGCTGCAGTTTATTATATATATAGCGTTGAATCTGGTAGTGGATGGATATGGTTAAGAGAAGTCGACAGCAGCAGTATATTTAGATGGTTATGCCTCTTACCACCRATGTGGTATTTTGTCGGACAAGCTTTTTGTGCAGTCACCATTGGTTATGTTTGGCACCAGTGGCAAAAACGGCAAAAGTGGTGTTGCTACATGTTAATCGCATTATTTATCACTGCAATTTTTCCATCTATACCACTATCCGAAGTCTTAGGAAATATAGTCGTGAATAAAATTACGCGATTTCCCGTGGAAAACTCTGCTGAAAGACAGAATCATTTGTTAGAACAACTCAACTCTTATAATTCAGAAGATGTTTATGAAAATCAATTAGCACTTTACGAAGGCTTATGGCACATGGCATTTTTCATATTCGTCTCGTACTGTCTGTTGTTGCCAACAAGTGTAGACAAACAATCAGATAACGAGTATAGCGAAACTATTAATGAAGAGCATAACGATAACAAAAAAAAATCGGAAGATAATTCCAAAGAAGACCGCCATGTTTCAACCGCTGTTTTGTTGTTTGGTATCGTAGGTTCTATCGGACACACAACCCTTAATATGTACATMGCATACCAACAACACAAGCGTCTGGTCAACAATTCGTCTATGGCGGCTATTCAACAGGTTCGTATAACTCTAAGAATATTCTTTCCAAGTCATGTTGCATTAATTTAAACTACTTTTTATTTTTTTAAAAGCTCATCGCCAACGTAGCAGTTCTGTCATGCGTCAACCTTGCTGGATGGCTATTRCGTCAGACGATAATCCAGGACCGTACAGACATTAGACATTATGAAGGGAACAGTAGATTTGATGGGAAACACAAATCTCTACGAATTGCATTGCGCCGTCAAGCTGAGAAGCTAGTAAGTACAGGTTTATCTGATTAATATTAAAGTATAATTTGGCCCGATTTCATAACTATAACCATTAAAAAATTTACGATTTTACTCGAATTGAAAACAATTTATACTAAAAAAATAAGAATCCATTTGTTGTTAAGTATTGGGGTAAAAATAAATYTTTAATGAACAACTTTTTAAAGTTGTGTTTTTATAATGTTTACTCTGTTCTAATAAAATACGTAGATTTGTCTTGAAAAGTTATTTTCGCTCATCAATATACCTATATTAATGCTGAATATTGTGCATAAATGACTCGTGATATTTGTTTTTRTAAAAAATACACCTATGTATGTGTTTTACGTCATCACTAAATTATCATAAACATTACGTGAACCTAGTATTGTTGTGTCGTTTTCACATTAAAAAAAAAATATATAAATCTTAATCGTAGCAAAACAATTTTAGTACTTATGTATGTTTGTATGAATAAACTAACCTGGGAAAAAAAAGTTTTTATAATCGTTTTAGATTGATCTTTAAAATAACWCGCTATATGAGATATGACCTATATTTTATAGTACTCGTATATACTGTAATTTTACTTACCTATCGTATATACTTACGATGATTCAATGTATGTGATATGTGATTAGTCTTCTTTGATTTTTCGGTCATTGAGACCATACCGCCAACACATTTTYACCCTATAAATTTCTGTAAATCAGATTCCATAGATATATAAAAAAAAGTATCATTCTTACCATATAATTTAAGTGTTAAAATATAGTCACATATGTATTTTAAATTAAAACCCAATAAGCCTTAGCCATTCAATACCTTATTTGTTTAAATTTTGATGAGCTTAAATTAGGTAGATATTGTACAATTATGTGTGCACCATTTATTTATTTTTAACATACAATAAGTTTTTGAATAAACTGGAAATATTTTGTTAATTTATTTAAGAAAAAGTGAAACCCGATTGTTAGAATTCTCCCAAAACTTAGTGCATTTGAGCATCACCCTTACGCTCACATATTTGATTAAGTCATGGTACGTTAATTAAATATGACATAGTATCTTTTGGGTATAACCTGTTGGTGTGTACGCTGAAACAGTCGTTCGGCGATGTTCTGTCAAATATCTGTTGCGTCACTATCATAGATCAAGATCACAACTAKGTATATAACTAAAATACAAAAAAACATATGATTAATTGGAATCGTGTTTAAAATAAGTTGCTTGTTTTGGTAAAAAAAACTTAAAATAAACAACATTTAAAAAAAAAATTTTTTATGAACTTTCAAACAATTTTTTTAGTCTAAATGTTCAAGTACCTACTCAAATTGCACGAWAGTTCTTCCACAAGACTGCGCTAAACCTGCCAATCTAATAACTTTCATAATTAATATCGGATTTTGTTTCTTGGTGAATTTATTAATTTTTCAATTATATTTTTATAATTATATTTATAAATATTTTCAAATGGTTGACATACAACCAGTTAAGTCTGTTCGAAATGAGATAGGCTGTAGGTACCTGTTAAAACTCGTATTTAATTTAAACTACGGGATCTTATAATTATGCTATATACTGATTTGCATCGTATTTTCTGTTTATAGCATTGTGTATGTTGAGCTGTGAACACGTTTAGCAATCTTATAGGGTATTCCAAACTTTGGAAAATCAACTTTTATAAAACTAAAATTTCACAATAAAATACCTCATGTAAAATTGTTGAAAAGAAAACTTATGACAACATCTAAATAATTTTAGATTCTGAACGGAGTGATGAACTTATGAATGTATTGATTTTACAATGATGTGTGTGTTTTTTTTTGTGTGTCTGTTTACAGCATAACTAGTCGAAATAATGCTTCAATTTCAAACTTTGGGGGTGGTTTCCGATGGAAAAGTGAATATCMTTRGTGCATTATAGAGGTCAAAAGTAAACAATTTCCAACAGTTTTCAAAAAAATCGAGAAAAACAAAAAAAAAGTGACAGAAAAACGGGAATTTTTACGCAAAACCAGTTTTCGACCAAATCGATATTTTTATATGGTTGTAATTCAAAAACTAATCACTAAAAATACTTAAAATTTTCACCAAATGTTTATGTTAGT